AGGCTGTAGCAGCCTCCTGCCGGCATGATCTGAGGGGAGGAGAGCAAGCGGGCGAGGGTGAGAGTGCGAATCCAAGGCACATGAGATTTTATCTAGAGGCTTTTAAGGAGTAACAGCTCACATCTTGGGCTTTTTTTGGGTGAGGGATGAGATCTCCAAACAAGAATACTCACAATTTAGGCAGCCCCAGCCCCATGGGCTGTCCCAGCACGCATGGGACGAATGTGCACTGTGGAAAAGCCTGAGTGACTGCTGCCAAACGACTGGGAAGATGCAACCCACGGCGTCTGTTGTGTCTGAGATCTCTGTAAAGTCTCTCGCATCCTTCCTCAAGTTTAGTTTTCCAGTGGAGGCTGTCGCAGTAATGAGAATGTCTCCCATCTGCTCCTCACATGGCTTGGCACATTTAGCTAGAATATCTATATTTTTATTATGGGGTTAGCCAGTGGTAACCATGACGATTAGACTTATCACGCAGCATTTTTTTCCCTCCTCGAGTCAGTTTGAAATGCTGACAATTAAATAGATACAGTACACTTTAGAGATCCATCAGTCTCTTTGTTGTCTTGACAACCGGAGTATATTTAGAAATGTAACAAGTACATGGAGTTCAATTGCACTTTTGCTAAAACATAGTTTTGTAGCTTGAGAATTTAATCTGTTGTTTGTAGATCCAGGTGCTTATTTGAGCTGTGCCTGACTTTCTCCTTGGTCTCTCTGGGAAGCTCCTACAGCAGCGGGGAGACTTGGCTGGTGGAAAAGAGGGTCCTTGTCGGGCAGGGAGCCTGTTGGAGAAGCTGGGCATGGCAGGGTCTTGGGCAAGGGGCTGGCAGCCCCTGCGTACTCGGGGTCTGGCTGTCCTGTACCCCTGGATACTTGTGGAGCCCTGTACCCCCAGGTACTTGTGCTTTGGCTATTGAGTTGCAGTGCAAGCAGAACTTACGTGATCATTGTCCCAAATCTGCTGTTCCTGCAGATCCAGCTCAGCAAACACGTCTGGAGGACAGTAAAGCGGTGTGTCCAAGCATCCTCTCACCCTCCCAGATGAACAGCTGCCACGATCCAGTAGCATTTTGGTGCAGTAGGGCTGTACAGTGCAGTGAGACATTGGCAGACCGTGATGGCTTTCCTCCTGCACCTGAGCTACCTGAGCTTTGGTTGGAACTGGGAGCTGCTCTCTGAAGGAACAGCAGAGACTGTTTCTCCATATCCCTTCTTCTCTTTTGTCTTTGATTTGATGGGAGCAGGTTTGTTTGATTTTTAACAAAATACTTTTACTACTAATTATTTTTGGTTTTTGAGTCCCTTCCTATTTGACTGGTAAAATTGAGCTTATCCTCTTCTCATTAAGCTGGACTGGCAGCATTTTGGCTAGAGGTCTGGAGCTCTGAATGTTGAGACTGCATCTAGGGCTGGAAGAGCAAAAGGGAGTGCACAATGGAGTGGCTGTAAATTCCACCGTTCCTCACTGCCTCTATGCATGTACTGATGTCCTCGTGGGTACTTGTTTTGTGCCTGTGCTGCTCTCTGGCCATTCCCTTTTGAGCCAGCGGAGAGCTGGCCATACCTGTAAACATGGTGATGTGCCAGCCCAGAAGAGCAGCTGGGGAACGTAGCTCCTGCTGTGATGGAGCAGCCTGATGGCTGTGAGATGTGGGCTGGCACCACAGTGCCCTTGTTATGCTCTTAGCACAGGACCTGGCAGTGGCTTGCAAGAGACATCCAAGATCTTGGAGTATTTCTGCAACTTGAGTAATAAATGAGTGAAATTAAAAGCAGACGAGGAAATAGCTCAAACCTTCCCCACCACTCCTCTGTCTGGCTGACCCAGGTTGTGATGCTGGTCAAAGCTGTCCCTTCTGGAGGCTCACAGGTCAAGGAGCTGCTAAAAAGAGCTTCTTTGTTGAGGTGTTCATAGCACATCTTAATTGGCACCTGAACTCTGGGGCAGGGCTTGGAATGCTCGTGGAATTTCTGCAAAACATCAGGCAAGACTCTTCCATTTCTTCCTGCCTAAGGCTTGGGTTATAATTGATATTTGGCAGTATAATTTGGGCAGGCCAACTGAAAAAAACAAACAAACCAAGACTCTCCTTTATCAACAAAGCTCTGGCGTCGCAACAGTCTGAACAGGAGCTCGGTAGCAGCGGATGGGGTGGCCTTTTGCCCAAGGGAACAAGTTCATCTGCTGAGGTGCTTTAAAGAAGAGAACCATGGGTCCATGGTATGGATGTAACGATGGTCAGTGGCATCCACCCTTGGGCAGAGAGTTGTAAAACCAGTCAGTAGCATTGCTCTGCTGCTGGGGAGCATGGTCAGCACAAGCTTGTCCCTGGGATGCTTTATTACAGGGGGGTGAGAAGGCTCAAGGGAGGGAAGCTCGACCTGAGATCAGCTATTATGGCAAGTGATGGCCAACGAAGTGCATTTGTATTTCCTGGGTTGCATGTTGTATTGTCTGTCCACTAAACCTGAAATAAAATTTAATGAGGCTCAAAAGGAGGATGGGATTGGGTTTTTCTAGTGTCATTTTGCTTCCCTCATCCCTGTGTTTCTTTTTAGTTCAGTATCTGTCAAATAACATGGGGGATTTTTTGTTTCAGTGTGTGCACAGCTCAGTTTCATTTTCCTTTGCTCCCTCCATTTTGCCAATTTCCCAATGAAAAGCCAAAACCATAGTTATATCTCCACTCCAGCTTTGTTTGTAAACTGTTAACAAGCCTTTTTCAAGTGTTTAATAGCTGTTGGGGTTTATTCTTAAAATACAACCACCAAAACCCAAAGATGCTAATGAGTCTTCAAGAGTGCTTTAAACAAGTTATCCAAATCAATCTGACAAAGATAATGGTCTTCTATTAGAAGAAATTTAGCTGGAGGTTGGATGAGCTGTAATGTTTATGGGTCTGTAGATCTGTAACCAGACAAAATCAGAATAACTTCTTCGATTTCAGTGGAGCTATATCTATTTATTACAACTGAGGCTTAGGCAGCGCTTTACATGCAAATTGTAACCTCTCTGAAGTTAAGTGGAGTTTTGATTTAATTCCTGGAAGCAGTAATGTCAGCAAAGAAGCGAAGAGCTGGGACCCACATAACCCAAAGTTTGTAACTTCAGGTTGCTCTTCTTCCCTCGCTGTCAAGATCAGATTCCCTTGATTGGGGCTAGTAATTAAAATGCAGCTACTCTTAAGCATCTCCCAAAGGCAAGCAGAGAGCGTGGAAGTGCAGCCTATGCAGATTATATATATATCTCTACATACTTTGCAGAAAATGCCAGTAGTTATGTTGTTCTCTGTGACTGCTTGTGGTTGGGCTCTTGACCTGGAGCTTGTGCTTTCCAGCCCCTGCTGAATTATCAGGCTATAATGCTGAGAGAGCTGGGATCTCCTTTCCCCCAGCATATTTGTGTCCATGTGGCAGTTGGGAGATGTGGACCACTGCTCAGCACCCCCACTGTGTGTGGCATAAGAGATTCACCACGCATTCATTTCTGTTCACATAAGGGGCATTAGTTTAAAGCAGGCTTGAGGCATAGGTTAGCGTTAGCTATTTGAAGTCTTCAGTCTGAAAGCAACATCAAACAGGGAGCAGAAAATGTATCATGCACAGAAAAATCTCTGGGATTTTTCCCCCCCCTTTAAAAAATAACAATAATAATGAATTCCAAACTCTTCGCATATGCTGCCTCCTTTGTGGTCAGGACACCTGTCTGTCTCTTTGCTGTTACTTGATATGGGTTTACAGTGCTTGCAAAAATGTTAACATTAATTTTTTTGTCACGGCAAATATGAAAGGAATATCCAGTGTTCATGTGGGCAGGTCCTCAGCAAATTTCTCTGTGCTCCTTGAGCTCTGATGTGGATCTAAAGCAACGGCTGCTGTTCTCCTCCCCTGTGCTCCCCTTCCTCCACCGTGGACCAGGAGGGCAAAGCTGCTGCCCTGCGATAGGCGGTTCTCCTGAGCAAGGGCAGTTGATGGTGGGGCTAATGGGTTTCAGTCTGGTTTCCTTTAAAAAATAATGTATGTGACTGTCTAGATATGTCTCTCCTCCCTTCCTCCCTCTCTTTGATGATTTTTAACTCCTTAGCTAATCTCAGCTATGTTTGTTAGAGATAATTAGGCTTTAGGAAAATACAGGTGAGGATGCAGTTAGGAGGAGCTGGAGGTCACCTGGGGCAGCTGAGAACCTGGTGGGCTGGGAGAACTGGGGCAGGCAGGGGTGGATTATCACTGATAGTATTTTTTAAACTTGCTTATTTCTCCAGGACTGAGATGAAAGGAAATAGAAAACACCAGAGTAGGCTCAGATATCAATAAGCTGGAAGTATGAAAGGCTGCTGGTTGAAAGCAGCTTGTGGTAACTTAGAAAACCTGTGTTTTCTTTTTAACCGGGCATCTTTGGAGGCACCCGAAAGGAAACCAGGGCTGGAGGTGGAGGTAGGGTTTGGGCTGTCCCACCCTGATGCTTTTTCCAGAGTTGCTGTGTGTTTAATGCATCCCATCTCAGTTTCGGTTCTTCCTGGTGCTCGCACGGCAAAGCCAACGCTGTGGGGATGACTCACCATTGGACTGAGCAGAGGAGGAGGCTCAGAAAGAAAAGGCCCTTTAAGCGTAAGAGGCAGAAAGGTGTCTGATCAGGCTTTGAAAGAGACCTTGTTACCTGCAGCCCTTATGTCAGTGCCTTTCACCAGCTCTACAGTGATTTAAAACAAGTAGCTTCTCTCCCAAATAAACCTCAATGACTCTGACACTTGCTCAGATGTGATCTGTCCTGCCAACGTGTGAAAAACCCTTGTATGGGTCAAAACAGGGACAGGCTGACACATAAGTTGTATCAGAGGGGAAAAAAAAGCTATGGTCTCCTCTGTACAGAGGGGCAGCTGGTGTTACAGGCCCTTTTGGGGCTGTTTTATTGGTGGGGTGTCACAACCAGCTTGATTTACTTTCTCCTTTTACGATGAACAAAATGGTTATTCTGACCTTTCTGTTTGCACCTGCAGAGGTCCCTTGGAAGATCCTGTCCATACGTCTGTCTGGGTGCCTGCCGCGGCTGCCTTGCTTCCAGGTGAGGAATGGATCAGGTCTTGGGGTTTTTGCTAACTGCTGAGCTTAGAGAGAGTGGGAAGACCCTGGGACCACATTTGGTCATTCAGTAAATGATGGCCTTTTGTGCAAAGCCTGGAGTGGTGGAAGGCCAGGCAAACCCAGGAGGCTCAAGGTGGTCTTACTATTTCTGGATCCGGGTCTGGAGGCAGGAAACGTGCAGGTCCTCCTGGGAGTGGGAGTGTTGCATAGGAATGATTGCGTGGTCCTATGGGCCGTATAACTTTTAACAAGACTTTCCTGTTTGTGGACCTGAACTTGCTTCCCGTCCATGGCATGGCTGTCTGCAGCCAGGATGCACTCACAGCTGATGATGGAGAGTTGACCGTATTCCTAGATTTAATCTAACTGTGCTTCAGTGGACAAAAGCAGAAAAGTATATAAGCCTATTGAGACTGACCTGAGTAGAAGTTTACATGAGGAGCAAATTAATTAATTCTTCAGAATTGCCAGTTCCCTCAAATTCACTGGAGATACTTAGCTGTGACTTAAGGATCACCCTGATAAACTACCCCAAACTCCAGTAGCAGTCTCTTGCCGGATTATGTGTAGGACATGAATTGTGCTTTGTGCCCATCCCATGATACGATGATTCGACTGCAGCAAAGGTAAGGTTGCAAAAAAGGAGCAGTGTCAGGGCAGTAGGTCTGTCCTCACGCCTCTCTCAGTTGTGCCATCCCAGGAGGCAAAAGAGGTGCTAGAGGTGCTACAAAGTCATGGCAACTGGGGGAAGAAAGCAGCGAGCAGCCCTGTTGTGAAGGAGGTAACGAATGAACAGGGATGGCTGGTGGGTGGTCTGTAACTGCTCGGTGCCATGAAGTTCTCCAGTAGGAGAAGGAGCACCAGGGGCTGCCTTGCGAGCCGGCTTGGATCCAGAGCAATCCATTGCCATGTGGGAAGGTGTGTACTGGGACTTGTTCTTCCACTGCCCTGGTGGTTTCCACTAGTGGAGCTACTCCAATTGCCTTGATGATTCCTGACTTGAGAATCGCAAGATGTTTACCCTGTTGTGTCACTGAATATAACTGCACTTCCATTCTTCCCTTTTGATACTCAGTGCACATCTGTCCTTTCTTCCTTTCCCCTCTCCTTGGTTTTACATTTTTTGTGGGTTTTTTTTTTTTGTTGTTGTGTAAATTACGGCTAGCTGGAGATGAGATTTCAGCATCCTGTTTACTGCAAACAGTTGGGGACATTAATAAAACTTGAAAGACAAAGACAGACAAGGGTTTAATAAGTAGCGGACAAGAGATTAATAGCAAGACAGTAGAATTTGGTTCAAGGCCTGGTCTTCCCAGTTGCTGGGTATGGAAGATTAATGGCAGCTTTTCTGTTAGTCTCACTCTTTCTGTGACAGCTTTCCTAAGTCTCATGAACTGCCCCAGTGGGTTGCTTTAAATATGAAATCTAGGAAGAAGCCCATCCTTACAGACTGTTAACTAATGAGACAATATTAGTTCTGCTTTCTATTCAAAGCTTAAGTAACAGCACCAATATATTTGTGAGTGGTGAAGTCAGATGTTCAGGTGCTTGCAACTCTTCTCAGGACGAAAACATATCATAAAATTTATCTTGCCAAGCAAACTGTCTCCAACAAATTGTTTTTTTTTACTCTGTGTGCTGTGCAAGAGATTGATTTATCTTCTCTTGACTGGGTTTTCAGCTTTGTTTCCTTGGAAAACTGGACTCTTGACCTATTGCATCTGGCCTCTCATTAGGCTTTGTGTGAGGTTAGAACGCTGTAAGAAAATGCTAACACTGCAAAGAGCATTCCTGGTTAAATTTGTGGGAGACCTGTAGAACGTGGGACAGTATCACAGAAAATCTTTATGCTGGTAGAAGGGTGCATGCTGTTTGGGGTCTCTTATGTAGGTGTTCAGCCTCAAACTTCAGCCTTAAGGCTGAAGGTGCCAAGTCAGGCACTGCAGAAGTCCTTTGGTGTCTGCCCTTATGTATTTTTGACAGTCTTCACAAAGATAATCCCAAGCTCTTGATGCGCAGGGTTATAGCAATATATGGGTATGTGTATGGGCAGTTTGGGAAGGAAGGAGCTGTGTTCCCGTAACAGTGAGCGTGATGAAGACAGGGCTAACATCAGAACTTTGTATAGCAATAGCTGAATTTCTTTGCCAGGGAAGAAAGGCTATGTGTTGCTTCTGCGTCCCTGTAACAAAGCTCTTCCCCTCTCGTCTGCTCTTGCATGCAGTGCCCTTGGCTTTTCAGAAGTTAATTGATTTGTCCATATTACGATTCTCTCTTTAATTTTATTTGTGTAAAGAAGAACACGCGCTAATCTTTCTCCAGAGAAATGTTTCACACTGCTCCTCTTTGAACGTTTGGCCCCGGGTCTGCCGCATTTCTTAATGAGTCTGTAACTAAACAGCTACGGTTCCCACACGCTCCAGCCTTGACACACACATACTTGTACACCCACGTGCCTGCTCCCAGTTGAACCCAGCAGCCTCCCCGCGCACCCTCGCTGCTTTGGGATTTGCATGAGCAAAGCAGCACCTCCCTGGGAAGCCCTACACGTGAGAGGGGGCTTTGTACCTGCAGGTGTAGATAGATTTGGCATCGCATGAGCTGTCCTGTGAATCTGAAGGACTTTAACCTCTTTATCACGCTGTCCCCCCACCCTCAGGCTTGTTTAATGTGCCTCCTCCTATGGGTGAGGACCAGAGGTAGCGCCGAACACCCAACACTGAATTACTGTCTGGTATGCCACTGGCTGCCAGATCTTTGATAGCTTGTTTTTAATGAAGATTCCTCCTGTAATTCCTAGAATATCTTGCAGTGCAGAAAATGAGCTGTGTGTGTATTTTGCTGTGGGCTGAATTTTTTTCCCTGCTCTTCACAGTTCCCTCCGTGAACAGAGAGGAAAGGGAGGGGGAAGCAGCTGACTGCTTTTTTTTGTTGTTGTTTTTCTACTTGACTTCTGTGAAATATGTGGGGATCAATCGCTCGCAACTAACAAAATGTTTTTGTTTCTCTTTGCAAAAGCATATGGGAACTGCAGGAAAAGCATATGGGCGTTTTTAGGAAAACATATTGGTGAATGGACAAATTATAGTGGTGCCAATATGTTTTGGATGTCTGGCTAGACCACTACTACTACCACACTTGCTGGCATGCAAACCCATCCGCGAGATTTCCAGCATGTGAGCAGCGTGTAGCTGCTCCTCGGGAAACACAGGCTGCTTCAGACCCCTGTTAAACCAGCGTTGTGATCCATCTTCAGCGTGCGTGACTGCCTCGCCATGTCCTGGACCAGGCTCGCGTTTATGGCAGCATATCCATTCTCTCAGTAGACAGAGCCCAGAGCTCCACTTGCAGCTGGCTGTGAGCAATGATAATGGTAACCATTTTTCTTTCTAAAGCCCTTGACTGCAGTCCTAATAGCACCTGAGCATCTTGCAAACAGGCTGGGTGGCCTCCAGTTTTTCCCTGCTGCTCTATCAGGTCTTTCTGTGTTAGCTGGAGCTATTGTTTTTAATTTCTTTGTCACACAGGCTGCTTTTGAGGAAATGCAAAACATTTGCGTTATTTCTTCTGGCCCCAATCCTATCTGCCTTGATACTGGTGATCCAAGGAAAGGGATCCATGAGCTGGGAGGGACTTGGTGGGGAGTGGTAAGGGGATTAAGTGGTTTTGGCAGGTGGGTTGGTTCTGGTGGCTCGCAGCATCCCTATAGTTTGAATTGCCCTGCTGTGGACTCCTGTGCAAGGAGGAGTCCTCGATAGCTCTGCCTGGGCAGCTCTTCCCGCTCGCCCTGTCAGTGAGGGGGTGCTGCCTGCCCTGCCTCTGCCTGCCACCAGCACGGCTCTGCTGGGCTGCAGGGATTGGGAGCAGCTCTCTGCCCACGTTTGGGTTTCAGCAGGTTTTACAGATTGGCTGAGGTCTCCTTGCACAGGCGTGAACAGGGAGAGACACCTTGTGTCCCTAAGAGCTCGCAATCTAAATAGACAAAACAGGGCTGCTGAGAAGGATATAGTGGTCTCTAAATGTCGGGGAAGATGGGCAGTAAATTAACCCAGGGGTGGTTTCATGAACAGGTTCAACCAGTGTGAGCTCGTACAATTGCTAGTTGAGGTGGTCCTGCTGTCCATGTGTCCCCAGCCCTCATTTCTGCCCGTATGGTCACTTTTATCCTTTATAGGTGTGAGTGGTGAGACAGAGGACGGGTCAAAACATGTGGCTAAAGGCTGAGGGGATAAGCAGGGTGCACATTTGGACAGTCATTTGGGCATCATGTTGTTTATCTTGGTTATGAACCTGCACTCTCATATTCTGAGTGGTAATTCAGCACCTTTTAGTGTTCTTCCTCTTATGCCAACTTCAGAATGATTTGCTAGTGAGTAATTTTACATTATTTAATGTAGCCACTTTCCTTATAGCTCTTTTGTTCCGCAAGACAATTCCCTATTTTATTATGCAAACAGTACATTAAGATCCTTGTGGGCCAAAGTTCCCAGCAGTGCTTGAGATGACGGCAGAGAAGTAGGTTATTTCAGAAATAATGATTCTCTCCTCTAGAAGCTTTCTTGGAGTTCTGCTTTAACTGCGTTTGATATTATACATGCTTAAAAAAAAAAAAAAAATCCAGTACTTCCTAAATGTTATAGAGCTCAAAAAATACACTGTATGCCTTGTCACAATATTTAATGCAGAGTGCTATTTACAGTAATGAATCAAAATGTCAGTTTTTAAAATATGAACTGTCAGAGTGTTCCTACTTTGCAGAAAACTTTGATATGACAGTTTGTTAATCATATGACTATTACATCAAATGTGTCTCAGAGTACTTTTGCTCAACAAAGTCTTTTTTTATTCCTTCCCCCTCCCTTTCCACTGTTAATTCTGGTAGAGTTGTTTGACTGAATGCACTTTGATTAGAGGTCGGAGGAATCCGGAGCTGAATGCTTTTACATATTGACAGATGGGATGGTATCAATGCCTGTGCTC